ATTGATGATTTAAACTAGAAAGTGTGAATAGAATAATGGTAACGTCTCCGAGAGACGGCCTAGCCGATCGGGTCGAGATCGGACTCCTCTCAAGATAGCGGTGGTAATGTGAACGATGTGGAACAGTATGAAATGCCCAACTAAAAGCTATGTAAACATGATGTAAAGGTTGTGTAATTCTTTCATGTTGATAATGTTGTGATCGTTTAAAGCTTTGGAGTGATACCTGTGATTTCCTTATTTGTGTATGAAAGTTCTTTCTAATTTGATGGTGTTTAGTTATACATACTAGTACTATTCCATGGTACTAACGTCCCTTTTGCCGGAGGTGCTACATCTTTTTTAAATGAATGTAGGTGGCTCCATAGTGGATAGTGCTGGTCGTATGTAGCGAAGCATCCCTCTTCTCAAGATCTTGGTGAGCCCCTTTCTCCCTCAAGAGGCTATATTGTATATCTTTGTATTGTGGACTTTCACTTTTGAGGTATAGCCGGGGCCTTGTTGCCGGCGTTGTAAAACTCATCTTTTGTATCCTAGAGGCTCCGTAGACATATGTATGGGTTATGTACGGGGGTTGGATGGGTCTACGAACCATGTTGTAATTCTAAACTTATTTTGCCTATAAATTGTAACTTTATGGGGATCTTGGAAATTAACACATCTACGGTTGGATAAACAAAAGTATGGTTTCTTTATTCATATCGAGGTGGGTAGGAAGTGTATGGTAAGGCTTGCTCATTTGGGTTCACTCGATTGAGCGCCGGTCGCGCCTCCCGAGGTTGGGGCGTGACAAACTTGGTATTAGAGCCAGGTTTTGAAGTGTCCTAGGATGTCTCAGAGCATGTCTAGTAGAGTCCTTCTTATCCGTGTGTAATCGACCACATCTATAAGTTGGATGCTACTTGGGCATTTAGGAATAACACCCTTCTTTGATGTTCTGGATCGTATGAAACTGTCCCTCTCTAATTAGTGCAATGTTCTATCTTTCATTAAATGGCACCTAAGAAGAAAGCGAGAATTGGCCAAGCAACCAATGCCACCTTAGGAGTGGCTGATGATTCACTTCTTGATACTGTGGATGAGGGTAGCCGCCCTCCTATCGCTCTGCCTGATTCTTCTACTCCAGAGCAGACTACCCTAGTTCCCACATCCGTGGGGGTACCACCATCCCTCCCGTTGATACTCCTATCCCGCCTCCAGCTCCAGCTTTCGGTTCTGGTATTTTGGATGGGGATCTTAGGGGAGCTATTCAGATGTTGACCCAACTGGTGGCCTCCCAGGCCTAGAGGTTGAATGTTGCGCCTAGTTCATCCAGCCAGCAAAAGGATTCAACTAGTTCCAGAGTGAACAGATTTCTTTAGTTAGACCCTCCGGTGTTTACAGGTGCCAATCAAGATGAAGACCCTCAGGATTTTATTGATGAGATGCACAAGACCCTCAGGTTAATGCGTGCAACTGAGACAGAAGGAGTAGAGTTGGCTGCCTACCACTTGAAAGGGCTAGACTATTCATGGTTTGAGTTGTGGGAGGATTCTCTAGAGGAGGGGCGCCCTCCAGTGAGGTGGAGCGAGTTCGCTGATACCTTTATTGACCATTTCCTGCCCACTGAGACAAGGGCAGCTCGTGCAGCAGACTTTGAAAATTTGAGGCAAGGTAACAGAAGTGTGTGGGAGTACCACATGGATTTTGCTCGCTTGTCCAAGTATGTCATTCATATGTTTCCCACAATGGAGGCCAGGGTGCACCGGTTTTTTCAGGGCCTTAATTCTTTGACCATTAATGAGGCTTCTACAGCTGTATTGAATTCCGACATGAATTATGGGAAGATGGTAGCATTTGCTCAGGCCACAAAGAACCGTAAATTAAAGAATAGAATGGAGAGAGAAGGTAGTAGCAAGGCCCGGTCTACAGTAATATGGGAGAGTCACTAGGTGGGGGAAAGATCAGCTTTCATGGGAGGATCATCAGGGCCTTCCCAGTCTATTGCACAGTCTTCAGCCAGTGCACCGCCGTCAGGGCCCAGCCAGCAGCAGTGGAGTCATTTTAGGCCCGGTCAGGGCAGCAGGGGATCTCATCAGTGTTGTCGGTCAGGAGAGAGGTTCCAGCAGCAGTAGAGTCCCCGTGCCCCAGGTGCGGGAAGATGCACTCAGGGACTTGCTATCTATGGTTACCTATATGCTATAGATATGGGATGAGGGGTCATATTCAGAGACATTGTCGTGCATCCCGCCAGGGAGCGGGTAGGGGCATAGCTTAGTCATCTAGCCAGGCAGTTGCTACATATTTAGCCCTCTCCCCAGCTCGAGGTACCATAGCACCCGCAGGGCGTGGTGGAGCTTGGGGTGGTACGCAGAGTTCAGGAGGACCCAGCCGGTTTTATACTATGAGTGGTTGCCAGACTGCAGAGGCTTCTCCAGATGTTGTCACAGGTATTCTGACTGTCCAATCACATGATGTGTATGCACTTATTGACCCTAGTTCCACCTTGTCATATGTTACCCCTTTTGCTGCTATGGGATTCGGGATAGAGCCGGATCAGCTTCATGAGCCCTTTTTGGTGTCTACCCCAGTTGGTGAGTCTATTACAACTGCTCAGGTTTATAGGGGATGTGTTGTTACGGTACGGGGTAGAGATACCGCGGCCGATCTTATTGAGTTAGGGATGGTCGGGATTCGGGGTTTTGAGTAGGAAATTCATGGGGCCTTACATCCTCCCCCACTTAAGATCATTCGTCCTCGAATGAGGATCAAGGTTCACTTATTAATAGTCTTAGTGCAATCTTCTATTCTTTATAACCTGAAACATGTTGCCAGTCCCCAAATTTAGATAACTCCCTATATTTCCAAAAATTTCGCCAGAGTTTCCTTTGTATTTAGGCCTATCCACCTGTTAGAGAGCCCCAGAAACATATCCTAACAGCGGGTACACATTCCATGGACATAAGACATGACATAACTCGTACATACTAACCATGGCCGCATTGGCAACATGTATATATATAACCAAAACAGGACAGTTTTACATAGATCAAATCAGAAGATAAAAGTTCATAGGAGTAAGTGCATAAAAGCTATTACATGACTATTCGAACAAATGTGGGTACTTCTTTTTCAACTCATCCTCGGCTTCCCAAGTGGTTTCCTCAACTTGCTGGTTTCGCCATAACACTTTCACGGATGCAATTTCCTTATTCCTCAATTTCCAAACTTGCCTATCAAGAATGGCAACTGGAACTTCTTCATATGACATCTCTTCATTAACCTCAATAGTCTCAACTAGCACAATAGAGGAGGATCTCCCACTACCTTTCTCAACATAGACACATGAAAGACCGGGTGTACCATTGACGTCTCGGGTGGTAGCTCGAGCTTGTATGCCACCTGACCAATCCTATGAATGATTCTGTACGGTCCGACATACCTCGGACTCAATTTTCCCTTCTTTCCGAACCGCATGATGCCCTTCATAGGGGAAACCTTTAGAAATACCCAATCATCTTCTTTGAACTCTAAATCTCTGCGATGCACATCCGAATAGGATTTTTTAGCGACCCTGAGCAGTTTTCAATCTCTCCTTAATAATCTTGACTTTCTCCATGGCCTGATGTACAAGGTCTGGCCCTATCAATTCCGCTTCTCCAACCTCGAACCACCCAATGGGATACCTACATCTCCTACCATACAGTGCTTCGAATGGTGCCATCTGGATACTAGCGTGGAAGCTGTTATTGTAAGCAAATTCTATGAGTGGAAAATGGTCATCCCAACTACCCTTGAAATCAAGAGTACAAGCGCGCAACATGTCTTCAAGCGTCTGAATAGTCCACTCTTCTTGACCATCGGTTTGTGGATGAAAAGTTGTGCTAAGATTTACCTGTGTACCCAAACCTTTTTAAAACTTCTTCCAAAAGTTGGTTGTGAACTTATCCCTCAATCTGAAATGATTGAGACTAGAGTGCCATGTAACCTGACTATTTCTTTGATATAGAACTAAGCATACCATTCCGCTGTGTTGGTAGATTTGACTGGAAGGAAGTGCGCTGACTTTGTGAGTCGATCAACAATCACCCAAATTGAGTCCAACTTGCGCGGAGTGCATGGTAACCCAACCACAAAATCCATGTTTATCATCTCCCATTTCCACATTGGAATATCTATGCTTTGTGCCAATCCACCGGGCCTTTGGTGTTCGGCCTTTACTTACTGACAATTCGGACATTTTCCCACAAAGTCCGCCACATCTTTATTCATGTTATTCCACCAATAAATTTCCTTGCGATCACGATACATTTTCGTGGAACCTGGGTGCATGGAATACCTGGAAGTGTGAGCTTCTACCATGATCCTTTCCCGAAGACCGTCGATATCAGGAACACATAGGTGGTCTTAGTACCGTAGGGTACCATCATTCATGCCAAAGGAAAAAACTGTGGTTTTGTGTTTGAGATCCCGTCTTTTAGTTGTGCTAACAACAAATCCACGAATTGCTTCTCTTTCACCTCTGCCACAAGCGATGATTCAACCCTATTCTGCACAATTACCCCTCCTTCATTAGAGTCCGTAAGGCAAACTCCCAAACTAGCCAACTGGTGAACCTCCCTGGCCAACGGCCTCTGATGGGCCTCCTAATAAGCTAAACTTCCCATGGATTTTCGACTAAGTGCATCTGCCACAACATTAGCCTTTCCCGGGTGATAGAGAGTATCAGTGTCATAGTCTTTGAGTAACTCTAGCCATCTTCTTTGCCTCAGATTTGACTTTTTTTGCTTGAAAATATATTGAAGGCTCTTATGATCCGTAAATACATCCACATGGACCCCATACAAATAATGTCGCCAAATCTTTAGCACAAATACCACTGCTTCCAGCTCTAAGTCATGGGTTGGATAGTTCTTCTCATGATTCTTGAGTTGCCTAGAAGCATAGGCTATAACTTTGCCATATTGCATTAACACACACCCAAGCCCGACTCTCGAAGCATCGCAATACACTACAAACCCCTATGTACCCTCTGGCAGGGCTAACACCGGTGCTATTGTCAATCTTGACTTCAATTCTTGGAAACTCTTTTCACAAGCATCGGAGCACTGGAATTTAACTGCTTTCTGCGCCAATTTATTCAATAGAGAGGCAAGAGTAGAAAACCCCTCCACAAACCTCCTGTAGTACCCAACCAAGCCTAAGAAACTGCGAATCTCAGTTGGTGTGGTAGGTTTAGGCCAATTCTTCACTGCTGCAATCTTTTGAGGAGCAACCATAATTCTTTCCCTGGAAATGACATGGCCCAAGAATGCGACAGATTCAAGCCAGAATTCACATTTCAAAAAAATTTCATACAATTGATGTTGCTGAAGAGTCTGCAAAACTGCCCTGAGATGGGCAGCATGGTCCTCCCGACTTCGGGAATACACAAGGATATCATCAATAAACACTATCACAAAGGAGTCTAGAAAGGGCTTGAAAACTCGATTCATAAGATCCACGAAAGATGCCGAGGCATTTGTTAGCCCAAAAGACATTACCATAAATTCAAAGTGTCCATACCGAGTTCTGAAGGCTGTTTTTGGAATATCCTGCTCTCTTATCTTCAATTGATGGTACACGGACCGCAAGTCAATCGTTGAGAAACATGTAGCACCTTGCAATTGATCAAATAAGTGTCACGCCCCAAAATCCGAGGAGTGTGACCGGCGCTCAACCGAGTAAGCCCGACTGAGCAAGCCTGTTAGGTTCCATTCTTCCCAAACCAACTCATGATTAAATAGGAGATGGACTCCATTAATCAGATTTAGTAAGTATTTCATTAACAACTTCCATTTCATTTCCATTAGCAACTTAAATCATAATTACCAAAATATTACAAGTTTTATAAATCCTTGCCAAACATCAATATTTCTACTTTAATTCCCAATTCCAAACACCACCCACAACCTGTCTACGGAGCCTCTATATATAACTGAAGAATAATATGGAAATGCCGGCAACAAGGCTCCGGCTATACCTCTAAATACAAAGTACATGATAAACAATGGTACAAGACCCCGAAATGAAGTGGGGCTCACCAAATCAGCTAAAAGAAAGATGTGTCACTAGCTGCGACCAACACTGCCTGCTATGGAACCACCTACATCCATTTAAAGATATAGCTCCCTCAGCAAAAGGGACGTTAGTGCCATCGAATAGCACTAGTAGGTATAACTAAACTAGTTAGAAAGAACTATCATACAAGAGCAAAGAAATCATAAACACATTCTCATTAAAAAGAACTATCAACAAGAATAAATAAATCATAAAGTTCAATCAAAAGCTTTAACAATCGCCACATCATCAAATCGAAGAATCATATGACTTTCACATAATTCCCATGGCTTTAGGTTGGCGCACTTGATATTGCTCATCATCATTCATAATACCACCGCTTTGTTGAGCGGAGTCCAATCACGACCCGATCGGCTAGGTTGCCTCATTTGAGACATATACCTCAATCACAATCTCATTTTCCTTTTTTTCGATATTCACAATACCACCGCTATCTTGAGTGGAGTCCGATCTCGGCCCGATCGGCTAGGCCGCCTTGCCAAGGCGTTGTTCCCTTCTCATTAATCATCTCATTTCAATCTTTATTTCATATATATCAATTCATACGCACTTGGGGCCACAATTATCACATCATACTTGGCACTAGGCCACATTTCATAACTCAATCTCTTCTTTCCCACATTTCACATCATTTCCACATATTTCACATCAATATCAATTTCAACAACAAGCCATTCAATTCAAGATGTCAAGTACACATGAGAGGAATCATGAACCATGGACATATACAATATTTCAGAAATTATACACCTCAAGTTTATTAACAATGGAACTTTAAACACAATGAATTCTTCCAAAAAGGAGGGGATACACCAAACCACAATAAAAACACACATCAAAGGCATAAGAAAGCAATTGCACCAATTGTTCTTGAATTACTCTCTTCCAATTATGACAATATACAATTTCAACATCGAAGTATGTAACAACTCGGATCACATTGGATGTACTCACAAGGCAAGACATTATCTTGAACAGCCACTTATGGCATAAATTGTGAATAAAGCCTTTAGGACACTTTATTATTGAAGTCATTTATGAAAAGCAAGGTCGAGACTCATTTCATAATTTGTTTCATATTTTTTCATGTCATAGGCATCACCAGGTACAATTAAAATTCAAGTTCTCGGCACATTGGCCACACTCTATTTCCCAAATTCATTTGATTACTTTAAACATCTCTATACAAAGAGGGTTTCACATTGTTTGGCATAATATATGCAGTTCCAATCTCAATTTAAGGTCTTAGCATTTCAATACATGATTCATATTCCTTTCACCCTTTTTAATTTATCAAGAATAGCGCATTGATCACATTGGAGTGCATCTTTCACAAATATAGGGTCACAACACCAATTCATGTAAAGTATCAATCAAAGCAAGAATCCAAAGTTCAGTCTTACCACATTTACACAAGCATAAATAGAGCTCAATTTCTAAAAGACGTAGTTTTAGCCATACATATCTTGTTTATGCTTTCCTTAAGTTACTACAACGTTCCGGAAATTCTAGCAATCTCAATCTACTTTGAGACTTTACAAACTTGAACACAAATTAGGAAGGTATTCATGGTTTTAGGTCGTTTGAGCATTTTATCAAATACTAGTTGAGCATCTTGATTTCAAATCTCTTTTACAAGGTTTCCTTCATTCCCCAACCCAATCTTTACTTATTTATGTTCAACAATCTTTCCACAAACCTAATTTGTACATGCATCTATACATAGTAGTATTACACCCAAGAATCATACCTCAATACCCCATCTTATACCCCAAACTCGAAATTAAAGTCTAGGGTATAGAATCTTACCTCTTAGATGAAGAACTTGTGATTGAGTTCTTTGATTCTTGAAGATTGATGCAAGATTGGATGATTGAATATTGGGTTCCTCCATCTCTCTCTAATGTGCTCTCATCTCTCTCTAAAATCAGTAAGAAATTACCCCAAAATGAACCCCAAAGCCTATATATTAAAATGGGGTCCGGTTATAAAAATAGGAAGATTAACCCTCTGAAGTCGGGTTTGCGATCGCAAAATGGACCGCAAAACATGAATGCGGGCCGCAGAGTGCACTGCAAAATCAGTGCCCAAAACTGGCCAACATTGGCGGAATTTGCGACAGATCTGCGATCGCAAAGTTCGAAATGTGACAGGTCTGCGATCGCAGATTTGACACAGGATCGCATTTTTTCAGCCTTTGGTAATTTGATTATAACTTTGTGTAGGAATGTCCAAATGATAAACGGTTTGAACCGATGGAAACTAGACTCGAAGACCTTTCATATGATAGGTTGTTCATCATATAAAACCTTATACATATTTTGATATGGTCGTTCAAAGTAGAGACTTATGCGAACTCATTTGAAATCTTAGCCTATTATGAAGTTTTCCAATTTGACTTTGGCTTAGGCCTTTCCTTGGGCCCCAAATTACTTACCACAAGACTTGTACACTTATTTACCAAATCCAATTGATGCCCACCATGTTAATAGCACATAAAATATTATAATTATCCTACATGGCACCACGCAATCCTAGTTTACTTAGCAAATTTTTTTCCGGGGCCTTACATTCTCCCCCCCCCCCCCC